GTGACGAAAACAGATAGGTTATGAGCACATATTTAGACCCTATACTTGCACTTTAGAGCAGGCTTTCAAACATTATCTCATCGACCGTGTTTGAAGAGTTGTCAATGAAAGGGATCCTTGACATGTAACCTTTTCTTTTCCCGGATAAGTTCTGTGAAATACCAGGGCAGGTAAGAGATACCAAAAATCAGACTTGCTGGAACATAGCAGTCGATTAGTGAATAGAGAATATTATAAAAGACGTCCACATTCATATTAATATCCATGTTGCTAAGACAGAAACTCCAATCAATAAGATTAAAATTGGAACCATTAGTTATATAATCAGTATGTTTAAAATCGTAAACATAAGTAGGATTCAAAGAACAGTTGACTGGTATTTCTTGGGCGACAAACAGGCGATTTTTGAATGTAGCTCAGAGGCATCATTTAGGCTTGCAGATCTTTTACATGCAAGATCAATTACAAGTAAATCTACTAATATGGGACAGCCGGCTTTACTTCCCCTTCAATGGAAGGCGTACAAAGCATTTTTTCGCCCTTAAAAATCCACCGCTTCAATCAGGTTTGAAGCTGCCAACTTGAGTATACCGGTAATAATGGCGTCGTAAAAGTGAATGAAGGGTGGTCAGGATCACATTTTGTAAAATCATCAGTAGACTATTGTATATAAAGAGAGAAAGTTGGAGATGAGATCAAGCAACGCGTTTTTATGATTAATAGTACCATTATGATATGTAGGTTCAGTAGAGCCAGCATGTTTAAAAAAGTTAATTAACCGAAGAGTCATTAACCGAAGAAGAAATAATGGGGGAACGTGTTGGAGAGTCATAGCAGAAAATGCCCTGTCCAGTCCAGGAAGCTTGAAATTGCCAGTCAACAACATAGAAACAGATGGATTAACAATTTATTTATTTGATTTACAAGAAAAATTTAACATTTCAAAAAATTTCAGTAATGCTAAACATAGTAATGAAGAGAAAAAATGTCAATAATCACTGTTCCACATTGACCACAAATGCCAATCTCAAGGCACCATCCACTACACATGACACTACATTTTCTTATTATTTCACATATTCAGCAATGTAAATAACCAACCATCAATTTATTGCAAGTCAAAGGTTTATCAAGAAAAAAACAAACAAAAACAACAACAACAACAACAACAACAGACTATGTTTTGTACAAATCAGATTCAAACAATTTAAAATAAAAGTAACAGTGCAATTAAACAATGGGTATTAGGTACATTAACCTCATTTTCCTGACATTTCACCAAATGGAACTCTTCTCTGGTAATCATATTTACTGACATTCTGAAGGCGTAGCCACTTTAAATCAATGTGCAAACTTCCTACTTGAATGTCATTTCTTTAAATATCTTTAGATTCAGGAGAATTATTTGTATCGATCTTTTCTCATATCACGATATACAAATGTTGTTTAAATAAATATTTCCCAACGCCCCACTGTATCTTAGTAACTTGCCGCAGCAACAGAATCATTTATTTACTATCGCAGTAATGTAGATTTTTGCATAAATCGTGACATTTACAGTTACCGGTAAAATGCTGAACATATGAAGAAACGTTAGTGTTATCACTGCCTTGTCAAAATTAAAAATCATAGCTCCGTTACAATTTTTAACTTAAGGTCTTTGCAGTACTCATAAGATTACTTGATACATACTCATAAGATTTCTACGTATGTTAATAGCTATTATTTTATAGATTTAAATTTCAGAATTATATAGTATTTAATTATGAAGAGGCTTGATTCTATCACACATATCACACATGTAAATAATAATAATAATAATAATGCAATAAAATACTATATATAATATAATAATATACTATATATAATATACTAATATGTCATATCAGCATTAACACATTGGATACCCACAACCACTTTCACATTCCTTCACTTTACAAAAATTAATTAGATAACACATTTTGTAACTTACCAAGTAGCAAGCATTCCCAAGGTCCCCAATTCTCACTTTTACGTCATAAAATTCATTTCTAGGATCAGGGATCTGCTCCTCTTTCGGGATAGAAGCAGCATCCACAGGCACATTTTCTGAAAAATGGAGACTGCTTAATCCTTTAACAGATACACAATTTCTATTACAAAGTCTGTATGTCACTAATTTCCCACACTGCATATCACAATTATATTTTTATTTTTTATCTTCAAAGCTAATACGATTTCTTTGGGTATTTTATTTCATTAAATTAACTTCCATTACACTTGACGGCTTCTCATCAGTATAATACAATCTTTATTGAAGGGGTCCCAATATCACATCGATAACCTTTATTTTACAATGCAAAAGTGAATTCTTAGAATTTTTCCAAATGAATATTATGATGCACAAAAGAGCCCATAAAAGTACAGAATGTGAATTGTAACCGGAAGTGTACACACAATTTGGAAAATGTCTGGATGTATAAAAATATGTTTTTTGTCAGCCTGTCAAAACTTACAAACAATTGGAGCCATAACAGCACATATTTTCTCACGTTATTTGCAGCACTTTGTACAGACAATTTAGGATAAGAATGTTTTCACATATAAATTTTATTTTCCCGGAAGAGTGGAAGAAAAGTTATGTCACTTCTATCTATAAATCTGACAATAAATCTGATTTAAAAAATTGTAGACCAACTCTGGTTTTCAAAGTGATGCCAAGGATTTGAGAATCTATTATCAATGAAAAGATTAAACCATATATTTCTACTTATAACAGTTTAACAACATGGACTTATGAATAGATCAACATTGAGAAACCTTTTGCTCTTTAACAATGGCATCATTGAGGCCTTGTATAATGACCTTCAAATCAATGTCATATATACAGACTGCATGAAAGCATTTTTTAAGTACCCATACAATTTTTGATTGAAAAATTGAAGGGAGTTGATTTTTCTAATCCTTTACTTCATATGTTTAACTGATACGAGTACAATATGTAAAATAAAAGACATACATTTCAGACATGATCACCACATCAGGTGTACCACAGGATCCATTTTATTTGTCTTACTCATGAATGATATATTAACATCATTTAAAAATAGTAAGTTTTTACTTTCTGCACACGATTGCAAATTTCACCATATAATTAAAGATAACAAAGATTTTGATAAACTTCTAGATGATTTTAATGATATTGCAAAAACTTGCAAAAATTTGTTATCCTGAAAAGGATGGATTTGCCCAAAGAGAAACTACCAAGTGGAATATTTTTTAAATACAATGAATCTGGATGGATACCTGAAATCTTAATGGTTTCTTGGTTTCAAGACAAGTTTATGACAGAGAAAAAGGATTGTTAATCCTCATTACCTTTAGGGGCCACCTTACACAAGAAGTGAAAAAGAAAGTTGCTAGTCTAAAAACAGATTTAGAAGTGATACCAGGAGGCATGACCTCACAATTACAAGTCCATGAGGTGGTTGAAGAAAACTTTCAAGCACGGAGACACCAATATGTAGAGTGGCTGTTATCAGGGAACTGCTCATTAACTCCTCCTGGCATTATCAAAAAACCTTCACTTGGACAGCTTAATCAGTGGATTCTAACTGCATGGAATACCATTTCTACTGAATGCCTAATAAAAGGTTACAGAAAGTACTGTGTAAGCAACAGTCTGGATGGCACAGAAGATAATATGCTATGGAGTGAGAATGATGGACACGAGTTGAGTGACGATGAAATAAGTAAAGATAATGATTGAGAGACATGATTACAGTGAATGCGGTAAAATGGAAGTTGAATTCATGTAGTGTATAAAATATTGATATACACTTAATAATTTATGCATAATGTTAATAAACATGTAAATAATATGAGTTTTTCCCCAATTTCATTACCTAATTGGGAACTGAATTAAAGTTCTAAAAACAAAGGTCTTATATTTGGGTGCATTCCCCCCCCCATTTCAAGATATAAAAACATGGCTCGTCTTATATTCGAGTCATCTTAAATGTGGGTAAATACAATATATTCTAACTTACATTCCATGGTATGAATTTTATCAAGGTTAAAAAAACTCCCCTTTTCCCATTATGTCCTGAATTTTTGATATTCAAATTGGTTGTTTAATAAAAAGTACGAGCATGCATACACACAATACCTGAATAGTTTCTCTTCTCATTGCAAAACTCCCCACAAATTTCAGGCATTTCGCTGCTATCCATTAATTTCGGTCTCTTCCTTAAAAGGTAGCTATGGTTTTGCGATTGGCTTTCTTTGTAAAATAATGGATTAATTGTTCTCTCTCTCTTGCAAGAGGTGTTGACTGTTGAATAAAAACAAATATTTCAATGGCAGTTTCATAAAATTATAAATACATAGACATTAACATAGACATTTTTAAGTAATAACACTCTTGGCTGGAAAATAATCATTAGAATGAAGAATGTACAGAAAACTTCTACAGCAATACAGTTAATTAAATTATTTTTTACGAAATGTGGTGTTCTTAAGTACATAATAGTAGTACCTGACATTTTGAGCAAAATCAAGAATATTAGCTTTCATGAAGAAGGGAAAGTAGCCTCCTCTTTAGTTCAAGGGAATTCAAGAACAGACAACAAATGACAAAGAGAACTTACATGTTCAATGTTACATGTACAGCTCATTTTGAAGAAGTGGTGGAATCCTTTGCTTTTGCCTTTGAAACGTGAAATGCCAAATATTACTGTTTACACTAGAGCATTTCAAATGCTTAACTCTGACACAAAAGACATGACTAATGTAATTATACTCAAAAAAGAAAACTGCAAACCTTACTAAGAACAATATCGATAAGAAGGTTCATTACATTGGTTCTCCACTTTTGCGATACAATGTATAATGTTAAGGTTGGATTTGTTCCAGAAGGACGGAAAGATTGGTAACGAAATTCAAAATGATGGCAATGATCACAACTTCAATTGATCTGGCAACAGCGCAATGACTAAATTTTCTTTTAATAATTGCACCTTAGGTATGTTCTTAATTTTTTTTATATATACAAGTAAGTCAGGTAACTTGAGCATCTTCTATAATTTTTGAAGAGTTTAAGTTATCGCAATGCAGTTTACACGGAAGTGCATAATGGAATCAATATATGTACTAGTTTCCATTTTACCACTTGTATTTATCAAGAAATTGAAGTAACTTTTTTTTCTTCAAATGGAATTATAATTTTTTTTTTTAAATCTATCATAACTAGCCTAAAATGACAATTTTAATAATATACCTATTTTCATATGTTAGATAAAAATTTTATTGAGAAATTTTGATTTTTTTGAGAATCATATTTAACAGATACATTGAATGTAACAGTCCACCACCCAAGGTCCCGCAGTCCCTGCTAACACACTCTCGGGGCTTTACAATGTCCTTTAAACACGAATCATAAAAAAATTACTCAAAAAAATGTATATCATTGGATTTGTCTTTTTATGCTCATCATGATAGACAAAAAAAGTAGTTACGATCAGGGGAAAAAAAGTAAGTTACATAAATAAAATTAAAGTGAAAATGGAAAAGGCCTTCATGATCCCCACACACACACACTGTCACTCCTGCCTGAGAAAAACGTTTGTTACCTTTTTTACTGGCAAAATTGACTAAAATATTTATATTAGAATTAGGTAATAATTTTAAAAAAATTGTGTAGTATCCTGTAGACACTACACAAATATACAACATAGTTATACAAATATGTGTAATTTTTAATGAAAATGTATGCTCCCTCCCAATGATCAGCTGGATCTGGTCTGGTCCCAATGATCAGCTGGATTGCATAACTAATGGATTAACATAATTTGATTCTTGGCTGTTCAGGATGCGCCTCGTCTCTACCGATATAAACCAACTGAACTCTGCATTGACTGATACAGTAGTTACGCTGCACGAAAAAGCGATCAATTTCATTAGCTGCTTGTGCCATGGTACTGCTGAAAGGATCTTCTATGATAATTACATGAAGCAAAAGGACCTTCAGAGAGTGGAACAGTCAGTGCACAAACTTCACTAATTGGTCATCTACGTCATTACTCTCCCCTGGAAACAGCTTCGATCTTCCCTTGGAGCTAGCCGTCGCCTTCCGATATTTTCAAAGTGCTCTCGTACACATACAACTCTGAAATTTTAGTAAGTTCCACTGCTAGAGGTGGCCTGGGATCCATCTTTGTCCTATCACCCCACAGGCTCGAGCAGTCTCGACCCTTCAGCTAGACTGAGTTGAGCTCCTATACAAGTTTCATTAGCAAGATGTCGCCTCAGAGGCCATGCGACAGGTCACTCCATGAGAGCACACTGGAGTATGCCGACTCGATTAACATACAAGATTCGGGCTCTCAGCACAAGTCGCCCCGTGCCTCACCAGGATCATATGAACATTATACGGTTTTAAAAAGAACTTTCATTACAGACGTTTAAGAGTGAAAAACACAAACATAAAACACATAACTGAAATAATTTAGCACTGGAACTATAGGAATTTATCCGGGACCAACCGAAAAAGCATATAAACATGAAAAACATAAATGAGAAACTTATAAACAGAGTTTCACTGTAATATAATTATTATAAACAGTTGAATAAACTTACCCAGATATCGTGGAAATTTCAGTCCTCCTTTCATACACTGCTCCAAACATTCTGTAGCTTCTAAAGCCAGTTTTCTTGGATAGTCATCTCCAACACACAATAAAATATTTTCTGGTTTGATATCTGTGTGTACAATATTGCACTTTGTGTGAAGATAGTCCAAACCTTCAAGAACCTGTTTATAATAAAAAATGTTATGTGTCTGTGGAATGCACAAAGAGTGATATGCTCAATGTGTAAAAAAGAGAAAACAAAACTAAGTACAGTAAAACCCTTCTTTTACACTTTTCAAGGGTCCAAGAAAAAAAATGATGTAAATCACCAAAAGTGTAAATTGGGGGAAACTGGAAGAAATTACTTTAATAATAAAAAATGCAGAGCAATAATACTCTTTTTACTAATAATATTAACTTTTAATGAGAAAATATTGAGCTTCTCAAAAATTGCACTTCAATATTCACTAATTCTACAGTTTTTAATCCCCACAAATACAAAGGCATTCTTCTTGAGACTATTTTACGATCAGATTGCACTAATGTGTTCCTTTCAACACTACTCAAAAAATTTAACATGTTACTGTCCAGTAACGAAGCACAACTACTCTCTCTAGTAACAAAGTAAAACTACTGTATCAGTAACAAAGTACCTAGCAAACATCCTAGTAAGGGAATGTCATGGAAATCCTGATCTGCAGTTGCTTTGAGACAATTGTACAATGACACAAAAATCTATCTCCCTAGAGAATACTTCTATTTGACGATTTGAAGTTTTACTAGTGCACCCAGAGAAGTGCTTTCCAGAGGTATGGTTCAAGTATGTCTAGTGCTTGCCCAGGAACAAACGTACAAAACTAAAAGCTATCCTTTCCTCTGCATAGTCACAGGCAAAAGTGTAAAAGGTGGAAAGTTTTAATTTCAAACATGTAGGGGGAAATGATGCCAACAAAGAAAAAAAACAATTCCAAGAATGTAAAAGCAAAATTTTACTGTACGCATAAACACCTTGATTTCTTCCCATTAAGCCCTTTAGTGACTGAAGTGAAAAATGCTTAATGAAGAGAATTCTAAATTTTGAAGAAGTACAGTAAAATCATAAATCCTTCAAGACGCATGTAATAAGGAGTGTTAACAAAGTTAAATTTTTGGGATTCAAGTTTTCAAAACACACTGAAGAATGTATTTTGTTGAATCTAGGCACAAATTATACATATTATATAACATAACATTGAGAATTTTAAAATTCTTAGAGTTCACTAATGGTTTGAAAAACTTTCCCAACATTAATCAACCATTATTATAACTTAAATCAGTTCAACTTTGACTTGCCTCAACTATAATTAGAATGGCAAAAAATGTAAACAATATACAGAAAAAAAAAGAAAAATTAAGACTACAAAATTTACTGCACACATTCATGGGTGGAAGAAATTATTTTACTATACTTCATACACACTAACTAACAACTTACAAATTGATTTTACTTATGGATTGAATACAAAGTTTTAACTGTCTTCAGCCTCACTGATAGGGTAACAGTTAGTGACAGTTGCAGTTTTTTGTATTTATAGTTATGAACTATAATTCAAAAAACCTGCCTTAAATGAAAGATTATAAGTTATGTTATTATATTGTTTGCTTCTTTTGATTTGTAATGAAAATGAATTACTTTGCTTCGATCATTGTCATTTGCATTGCATCGTATACATGTTTATTTTATTTCACAAGTATTCAACTGTATCCCTACAGGAATACACCGACATTTTTATGAAAAATTCATTTTTGTTTTAATAATTTGCATTTAATGCAAAACACTACAACTACCCACTCCATAAACTTTCTCGCACACAGTAGTCTAATTAAATTTGTTCCGGTGAAATGCACCTTATGTATTTCTGACACTCACAATTTCTTGAAATAACTTCCAGCAAAAAATCCAGAAATAAAATAAAGTTTTTCAGCACTTCAAGCACTCATAAGTGATAACAAAGCCAATAGCATACTTGTTTTATGATGGATTTTACACTGCGAAGGGGAAGTCCTTGGTAATTGTTCGATATCAGAAGTTTTAACAGATTAACTCCATGAACATCAAACACCATACACACATGACTCCCATGATCTCCAGGAACTTCAAAACTATCTAAAAGTTGAATGATTCGGTGATGTTGATTGCTGCTGCTTGAGCCATATACCTATTTAAAACAAAGAAATTTTGTGGAAATTACTCAAGTGAACACAAAGAAAATTTATTCTATTAATTTATTCATCAATACAGTAAGAATTTAAATAAACATTAATAGAATGCTCTTCCAAGTCAACAATGAGAAACACTTGTCAATGTGGTGTACCACCAATACTAAGGTTTCTATGCTTCACCCAAGAGCACCACAATATTCAGATCTACCTTAATTAAATTCTAAATACCCTTTACATGTACAGTTTAATTATTGTATCATCTTTACAGTTGAATATTATATTCAATTTCATAAAACATCTTATGGAAAGATTGAAGTTTTACAAATGGATTTCTTGAGTAGCGTCTCCTGAGACATGGAACATGTGACATGTCTCAATCGAGCAACATGTGACAATCTTCATCTAAACATTGAAGTGAAGGAATGAAGCATTTAACATAGTGTGCTCCATCACATGTAGCACAAATACAAATTCATTGTTAAAGAGCACACAAATGATTTCTTTCCTGAAGTTTCCTTGAAGCATTATCAAAACCATATATATCAGAGTACCAAAAATATTTTTTTTAAGTGCAAGTTTAGAGAAGGTTTAAGAGAGATATACAACCATAAATTCATTTATCAAACATAGTCAACATTATGAAAGTAAATAAGAAAAGTTGTGCCTACATTCTGAAGCATCTTGACTTCATCTTGAGCAGCATATCTATAATGAGATGCACTTTTCACAACTTTCATTGCCACATATCGTTTGTCTCTGAAACATAATATTTCTGTAAACAATTCACTTCCTGACTTGTTAAAAATCCAATGTTATCTGAGGTCTAAATATTTTCACAAAATCTTCGATATTAACATAAACTTACTTTTTATCGTAACACAACCACACAGTAGAAAAATGACCCCATCCAAGTTTCCGTATTACGATATACCGATCATTAAGAATATCTCCAATTCGTATGTGGCAATACCCTCCTATGAATAAAGAAATATTAACATATTTAAATAGGTCATAACACATTTCAACAACAATCTGATTAATTTGGTAATAGCTTTGCATAATCCCAAAGCCAAAATTGAGCACTGCATTTAGCTACTGCTAAAAAAAAATTAAGACTCCAAATAAGTATCTGAGCAATGGTTACTGCATACTATAGAACATATACTACTGTGTACCACAAACCACCTTTCTAATATCGATTACAAACTGTTACAATACATCACAAGTTAATGAGCAAAAAAGAATTAAACAAAAAAACTTTACTGTGAATTATTCAAATAAAGCATGCTTTTCTCATTTAATAACCAACTCTTGTAACGTATATTGATAATTCCCTGACTACAAAAAATTAATTTAGCAGATGTAAAAATATACTACATAATAAAACTTTAGAGCATTATATATATCATATTTCCTCACCAATCCATATCTTTGATCGTTGCTCTTCATCATTGTTGTCTGAAAGTAAAATATCTTCTGGCTCTTTCTTCTCCTCAGGAATTGATGTACTCGTCTTAGGTCTGCAAAATAGAATATGCTATATAAGAATACATGGTCTAGTGAAAGTATTTTTTTTAAATACAAACATACCAAACATAATATATTAATTCTTCAGATTAAAAAATCCTCTTTTATAATTTTATTAGGTGCAATTTTGCATTTACTTAAAGGGGTCACAATGAGAAAAATCATGTTTGGAGAAAAAAAAAAAGGGCCATAGGCTAAATATTGTGCTGATTTTTATTTGATATAGACTACTTTGATTTTTTTTAAAAGTAACAAAATGTACAATATTCTGCTTTTGAGCCTACTCCAGCAAATGGATAACTACTTATAAAATACACACAGAAAGCATTAAAAATTTCATAATATATAATAACTGAGATAGGATTGTGAGACACATGGCAATAACTTAGAAAAACAATTTAGTATCTTTCTTTCCTTTACATTCTTTTAACTGAGCTTCAAGTTTAATGAAGGATTTGCAGTCAAAGAAGTTGAATTGATTCACTCTTTCCCTCAGCACCTACTAACAAAACTTTCGAGTCAAAGCAGACTTTAAAAAAATGTGAAATTGCCGTTTCCATCAATTCACCGTACTTCATAATTCGAAGAAACAGGATCTGCCGCACAGGTACAAAATGACAAAAGCGGCAACATGAATACAGAATCGGTTCAATGCGTTCTACATGCATTCGCCCAAAGAACAAGCCAACTTTTGTCACAAGAAATAGTTCGTCACAAGCAAGAGCGTTCCATCGCGTTGTCTCCCTAACAACGTTCTGATACACGTGATTTCACTGTTTACAACATCCCAATCCGCACATTGTGCAAGGCCAGACTTTCACTTTTCACTGAACATTCCATCTATTCAAACTTTAGCAGGCGACGAGCGACAATACGTTTCGTTTTAATTGTATACTTTACACTGTAAACACATGGTAATTTTCTAACATAACTGTTAAGAAATAACTGAATAGTAATCGCTCTGAGCAAATGCACATTTCGCAACCAACCAAAATACAGCATGTCCAAATATTATCAGAAGTGTGGGTTCACACTTTACATAATCATAGCGCGACTAACACTACAATATTAGTTCGTAGAGCTGAAATTAGCCCCAAGATCTTGTTTAGATCATCGATTACTAATTAACGTCACGAACATAACACGCACACATCTGCAAATACTTAACTATGATCCTGTAGACTTTGCGACAAAACCTATACAAAACACATTCGTTTATGAAAACCAATAGTCCTCAAAGCAACAAATGAATCCAAATTTTTTACCTTTCAGCTTTCCTCTTCACTCCAGGTGGGCGTGGAACTTTCCGAGCGCTCATTCCACCTCATTCGCCCCGCTTCCACGTGACGACGTCAGCAAACTGCGGCAGTAATGCTCTCTATTGTCAATACTTGACCTGCACTTGGCACGTTGGCGAAGATACCACTTTTGTTGTTACTTCAAAATCTCTACCAGATTTCCACTAAAGTACTCATTAAATTGAAAGAGTAGTAAATTACTAACTACAATTATTGATGAAAACAAATTGTTGATGACCAGTAGGCCTACATAAAAGTGCACCAAGACCAGAAAGTCTATCGAAAATTCTTTATTAAGCTTGTCAGTATATAAAATTAACGCACTTCATTAACTGCTAGATATACATTTTGAGAAAACACAGCAGAAAAATCGCTAAACGAAAGAGTTTGAGGTTGGTGACGCACAAGAAACTACAGATAAGAGATCCGCTCTTGAGCGAGCTGCTTAAACGATCCGGTTCATTTCGATAACTCGCTCACCAAACACTCGTTTAAAGAGAACCGTGACTCTTTCGCTATACGTGGGCGTTATGGTACAAACATTAATCACCATCGGTGAAAGAAAATAACGAATTCTTTCAGCTAGGAATTATTGCATGTTTTTTCAACCCATACTGAAACTATTATCTGGAAAGACACTAGGAGCAGGTTTTGATACAGACATTCTTTGTGCGTTTTCGGTAGTACCATGTAAGAGATTTCTTACACCGTGGTAGGACGAACTCATCTATTTTAATTTTGCAATAGTACGCATCTGGGCGCTGTGTCTCTAGCAGTGCTTTTTGCAGTCATTTTTGAGGTAGATTCCAGTCGATGCGGATGTTCCTTTTCGTTTGTGTGATTGCAATATAGTATTTCGGTGAGTTCACTATGCCTCCATTAGTGTCAGTATCAACAGCTCACTAACAGAAATCCACATACAATACATACATGTACGTTAGATGACATTAAACAACTGAAGTCGGATCACAAATTTAAGTTAAATGTAAAATCTTTTCGGCTGCATAACTTTTTCAATACAATTAGAGACTATACTGATCAAGAAAAAGAATGTTTATTTAACAAAACAGTGATATATAATGAATTAATTTATATTAGTATTGTATATTTTTTAAACAGATTTAATATGCTGGTAACAAAAAATTACCTCAGCTTCCGGGTTAATTACCCCATCTCGATCAGGTTTTTGACCACTTTCCCTGATACATTGAGCAAATGCTAAGATGGCCCCTTATTTTGCTTCTGGACGTAAATGTAGCTTTCCTATGCGCACGTTTGGTTTAACTCTCCTTTTGCTTGTAGTGGTAGAAGGTAAGGGCGAGTTACTATTTTGTTAACAATGCAAAAAATAAAATCTGTAGTTCGTTTACCGTGGCAAAAACGTTTTCTATAACTCGGGAACAAAAATGTCTAGTCTTTCAAAAGTCGCTAATATCGCGCTTTTTTAAATTTTAATTTATTAATTTATTTAATCTTTAATTTTTACTCATAGTTAAAATGGTGGGAAGGGATTCTGGAACACAAGAGAAAGTGTGGAGATTATTTTCTTCCCCATACGTCTCATACAGGTTTTATTTTTATTTTTGACCAAAGTAATCTAAAATTTTGAAGTTACACAACGTTTCAGTTCTTGAATTGCAACCTTCATGCGCCAGAAATATTTCAGAAACTAGTGAGAGGGGAGAAGGTGATCTTTGAATAATTATTACTTGTACGAAGGTCACTCCAAAAGTTTTGAGAATGAGTAACTCAGCAATAATGAAACTATTTCTATAGTAAGGTGGAACTTTTAGTAAGAATCTCGCGCAAGTTTGAATACGCTCGGGTAATTTATTCACTTAGAAGGACTATTTGTGTCTATTAGTTGTTGTTCCTCTGCCTTGGACGAGGACCTTAAAGAGAGAGCATTTCAGAGCTATGATTTTGTATGACTTTAGGGTTGGCTTAGATAAGAAATCAAGCCTCGAGAGATTACAGCGTGCGTTTGGCAATGGTTGCCCTTCACTAGCCTCTGTCTATCGATGGTTTGCCGAATTCAAGAGGGGAAGGGACTCTCTGGAAGATGAAGACCGTTCTGGCAGGCTCAACGCAGCAAGAACGGATGAAAATGTGCTGAAAGTGGAACATTTGCTAAGGGAAGACCCTCGTTGTACATATGCTTAGATTCAAGAAGCTTTAAATATTGGATCAGCAGCAGTGAGACAGATCTAAAGAAAAGCGTCACGTTTAGGAGCTGTACTGTCGCCTGATCGCACACAATCTTGTCAAAGAACAAAAAAGGGCGCGATGGATCTGGTGTCGTTGAGACCCTGCGATAAGTTGAAGGAGGAAGATCAAAACACATTTTTAACATCGTGTCTGGTGTGAAAGCTGGATTTATCAATTTGACCAGAAATGAAACGGCAGTCATCAGTGTGGTCTTCCCAGATGAAACTCTCCATGAAAGTGAAGAAAACCCACAAGGTGGCAAAATGATTTGTTCTTTCTTCTTGCCGGGCGCATATTTTGACAGGCCACTCGAGGAACAAAAGACAGTCACTGCAAGATGGTACACTACAATTTTGCTTCCCCAGATTGTTTGAAGAGCTGAGAAGAACGTCCAAAATCAGGTTTGCGTGGAATCTGCTCCACCATGACAACGCTCAACACAGCCAGACAACACTGAATTCTTGCAGAATCAAGGTTAAAACACTATTCTCAATCACCTAACAGTCAGACCTTGGGCCCGTGGTGATTTTTATTTCCCTTATGTGAAAGAAAAAATTCGAGTCATCGTTTCGAGTCAGCTCAGGCTGCAGTGACTGCATATGAAGATCAGATTCGCAGTATCTTTAAAGAAGTGAGGCGATCGTCATTTAATAATTGGTTTAATCGGATGAAACGTAGCATAGAGTGTGATGGAGAGTACTTCGAGAAGTAGTGAAGGTAAGAACTTATCTCGATTTTAAATAAAGTACTCTCAAAACGTTTGGAGTGACTCTCGTACATATACTAATACCAGTATCATTTGCTTCAATGTAATTCGATCTTTGATATAGTTCGCAATTCTTTATAATCAAATATACTATCATCATAGCTGTCTCCCTCTGTATATTCAAAAAGGATGTGTCTCAGAGAGATGTGTCGCTTGCTGTTTCGTGCGCTACCTTCACTGGCCAATCTGAGAGCTCTAAATTAAATGCTATTCACTAGTCTAGTGGTACGTCGAAACATGCCCTAAGGGCGAGGTGCACCTGGGCGCGCCGACAAAGGCGTGACGGTTGTCCCGACTCCGAACTCGGCGACCTCTCGAGAGCGGTGCCCGTATTTTCCGAGGACGTCGCCGTCTCGCGGCTGCGTCCCTGTTGCGGTTCTTTTAACGGGACGTGGGTGACCACTTCATTCATGTAATATAGTTTTTTCTACATTATATGTAATTTTAAACATAAAAAATTTTGTTACACTGATTTAAATAGAGAGTAATAAACGTCTTTTCATATTTGCACGCAACAATAGTGTTAAAACGAATATAACATCTTGTATAAATTACCTAACAGTAGATATGAGTGTGATATTCAAAAGCACATAAATTTCACATTACACGTGTTATTTAGTTGATTTCAATTCCAAAGGAGCAATATCCCCGTAAATGTTCAAATTGGACCACTGTGTGCCGCCTTGAAAAACATTGACATCTGCAACATTACTATTTGATAGCGAGTTTTGAGTTGATAAATACCGTGCAACAAAGTCCAAGGAACGGTTTATATTTTCAACATACTGCATTAAGTTTGATGAAAAAGAAAAAAAGAGAAGAAAGAGCTATGAAGCAAACTAGCACATATAAAAGCATCTGGGTGATGAGTGTTTCAAATTGTACAAGAAACTATATATCAAGATCTTACTGTACAATTGATGAAGAGCTCATTGGTTTTTGCGACAGATGTCCATTTAGAGTTCACATGGCAATGTCTAAAAAGCCAAACAAATATGGACTGAAAATCGTTATGATGTGATAATATAGCTAGGTACATGATAAAAGTCATTCCTTTAAAGGAAGAACTGACGGAGGCGTAGTTACAGACAACTTTGCAGAACACTTATAGTGGATGACATGAGAGGTACACACCGAAATATTACCATGGAAAACTGGTTTGTAAGTATACCTCTCAAAAATCACATTTGTGAGTATATCTCTCGTCAAAAAAGTACTTGAAATGTATGGCCTAACGGTTATTGAAACTGTAAAAAACAATAAACCAGAACTTCCCGTTGAATTTCTTGAGTTGAAATATCTGCAGAGAGAACAAGAGCAATTCATCATTATTCTTGTTTTCTAATAACATTACTGCTGTTTCTTATAAGCTAAGAAGAAACAAAATTGAAACGCTGGTAGCAAGTATGCATGTGAAATTATCCATTTACAACTGTACAAAGAAGCCAGAAATTGTTCTCAATTTGAATCAGATCAAAAATATTTATTTTCGCATATTTTAATTAGAGACAATCATTCGGTAGATTTAATCAGGCACACGTCACTTGAAAACGAATGTATTTGTATTCCATTCTCACCACACTTCGACCCACTTGTAATTTCGCTTAATATGGCATCTCTGCAGTGTACTTCAAAGCTCCAGTTTTCCATTGTGTCAGAACGAAATATTTAATTAAACAATTAAATAGACGAAGATTAAACTGTAAATTACGAAATAATTGAAGCCAATGACATTCGTTATGTGGTTTACGTCCAATGTTTTTTCGAGCATTTCATTATTTTTGTATTTAAAGAAAGTAATGCTGCACGTCCAAGAATTTATTTGTTAGATACTACGTTTTTACGAACAGTAAAGAGATTAACATTAACATTATATTTAAAAATTAATTGTTCGAAACGATGATAAAATAAAACATTTGTGTAAGGTAATGAATTCGTTTCGAATGCATTCATAATAGGACATATTGGACGGCATTTATATCTGGATGTTCCACTTTTTTGTAAAATTATCCTTGCTTGTCTATATCAGTTACGGGAAATGAAAAAAATTATAACCGTTTTCGTTCGTTTACTATTTCATTTGTTTTCAAAAAGCTAACGTACGACTTGGCATTAAAGATGAAACGATTTAGCGGGCTTTCTGCTTTACTGCTCTCCAGGGCAACTATAACTGTTTAATTTCTTAACGAGTTATGAAGAGACTAATTATAGTTTTTGTTCGGTTGTAAGTCTTCATTTAAAAAGAAACATTTAAGAATCAACTATCTTGCAGACATGGCATGGCATACATACAAAATAATTGTATATATTCGAAACAAGCAATATTGTTCCATAAAGAACGCCTTAGAAGAACTTTCATAAAACCACAACAACGCAAACTGAAAAACAGTTCTATTTATGGCAAAAAAGGAACTTTTAGCAAGAATTGATACGGAACTATTGTGTCCATTGTTGGCAGAGCCCATCGCTGCATGCACGCTTCGTTGTCTCGACTGAGATG